AATCTCTGCCAAGGCAGCGACATTGGCTACATAGTTTCTAATATGTTCCCCAGATTTTGGAGACTTTAGGACTATTGGTAAATTGTTCCCTTTGTGATGGATCTTTTGAGAGAAAGAATACCTGCTGTTCCTATGGACTTCAAATGGGATTTTGCGTGTTTAACACTTCTGAAAACCTTGCTTTCTTGAGTAATACCTCTATCTTTAATAGCATTTTATATGATAAACTAAATAACTAGTGATTGCCAAAAAAATGTAAATCGTCACCTCAAAGCGCAATAGCACATACTTGAAGAAGAGAGGGAAAAACAAAGAGAATTGTTTCTTAGTCTTCAGTAGAGAGGATGTTGAAGCGGTATCTTCCAGAGAGTTATCACTTCAGATGACTAAGGTGCGGCCATGTGAAGAGATTGTGGTTTTAAAAAAAGCAGATGATGAAACGGATGTATTGTAGTAAAATTACTAACCCACAATAATAAAAGAGGTGCTAAATAATTTAGGAATGAAGTGGCAGAACTAACAATAAAATGCATAGGTCCTAGTTAACAAAAATGGATCTAAGTGCCTAAATCTAGAACTGCAATCCTGAAAAAACCCTGCTTAGACACCACCTGAAACTGTGGAAGTGGGTAAATTCCATAATTTCTGTTTAATTGAAAAGTTCCTAGGTGTCTAGCATTGCACTTCTGTACATGTCCTGAACTGTCCAGTCTTGATAAGGCTGAAGAGCCTATGTGTCCCTTTCTTCACACTTATGCCTTCCTGGGATCCAGACATTAGGAATTTCTCAGTACAAGTCCTGTGAAAAGCCTGATCAAATAAATACATGTTTTCAGAGAACACGTGGCAGATGCTTACAGGATCAGGCTCCTCACAAAATGCAGTGGCGGCCACTGATGGCTTTTAACACATGCCTGGGGGAGTAGGAGGTGCCAGCGATGCTGTGTATCCTCTTTATACAACAACTGAGTGATTTGAACACTTGTCCAAGATGTGAAAGATCTGGCTTTAATTTCCTCCTCCGTCTAATGAGATTCAAGCTCACATCTCCCACCTCCCTGGAGTCCCCAAACCACCTAACTGTTCTGGGCTGTGGGCATTTCCAATCCCTCCTACTATGCCGATGTGTAGAAACTACGCTGACATGTAGAAAAGAACTAAATTCAACAGGCACACGAGAGAAAAACAAGCAGAATATGAGTCTATAACCTAGTGGTTAGAACAGCACCTGGAAGAAAGGGAGATCATAAAATACAGAAACTGTCCTGGAATCAGGTCTCCCATTTCCAGGTGAGTGCTCTAACCACTTTAATGCTGTATGAAGGGGAGAAAGAGGGGGACACCAACACTATCACTTCAGTCTCCTCCTCCTCTGACTGTTTGAAAACAAAAAAGTGACCCTCCTTAGTCCCAGAAGTAAAGTGTACAGGCACCTACCTCCAGGAGAGGATTTTAGGATGCAGAGAAGATGGAGTCACCCTTGCTCCCTGCCACCACCCCTGAGGCTTTAAAGGGAGGTTGGGACATGACATTGTCCTAAGTCTTTTTCTCTTGGCTTCCTCTATAGTTTTTCTCTCTCTGCATATTGACTTGAAGTGGCACCTAACACTTCCCACTCTGTGGCCATCGCACCCAAAATACATGTGCTGTAACACCTAACTTTTAGACTGTTATGTCCTTCTTGCAGCTAGCCCACAATCTATTATTAAAACGAACTACTATGCAAGACGAGTAGTGGAAGCTGTATCTAACTTTATAAAACTGCTTTGAGGGTCAATCAGGAGAGCTACAGATCTCTGAATCTTATTTCAATACCAGGTAATCTAGCTAAAAGAGTAATGCGAGAGAGCTTTACATCACGCTGATAAATATTACGTTAGAGAAATCAATGCGAAAGTTGATTCTGCTGCCTCAACCTATAACTATTATTTGAGGAAATCAGCAAGATGGTGGATCAGAAAGGGACAGTAAAATATAATGCATCTGAATTTCCCAAATGCAAAGGAAGATATTTAGAAAATTAAGTACTCAAATATGAGGAGTAGAGTTCTGACACAGATTAGAAACTAGGTAAGAGCTAGAAAACAAGATAGGTTTCATTTTCAAGATGCATGGGTATAATGTCAGAAGAAGCCAATAAAGAACTGCACTTAGAGTGATGCTTCATATATTTGCTAAAAGTCAGTGGACCGAGAGGTATATAAATCAAAACCGAAAGGCAAACAAACACTCATTAAAAGGAAATACTTTAATATTATTCAGGCAAAAAGCTAGTAAGATTCAAGAACGATATGAGGCACTTGTATTAATAAAAATAACACCCAATGCTACACACTAGGTAAGATCAGGGCGTTGAAGGGACAGAATCCTGATGCTTGAGACACAATGCAATTAACATTGTTTGCAAACAGGGAGACACTTCACCAGTGGTATGTTATTTCAAAATTATCCATGTTAAAGTTTTTATATGTCCTCTGTGATATTTAGCCTAGCTGTTCCTATAATATAGAAGTCATCTGAACTACAGTTAGTCCCATCATAGCAAAGTCAAGCTGAGACTGATACAAAGTGGTAAAATAAATTAAGAAACCATTTCACATGAACACAATTCTTTTTTGATTTTAATAAACTCATGTCTCCTCTCTTCACTTCAACCCTGCTAATACACTGACCAAAAAACAAAATGACTTTCTTTTCTATCAAATATGCAAATACCTCGTCAATGAACTCACAGTATACAGCCAGACACAGGTACTAACCGATGCCGCAGTAAATTGCTTTGCTTAAACACGTGTGGACAGTGACATGGAAATTAGTTTACTCTGGCTTAAATTGAGCTGGAGTATATTCATTTGCATTAATTGCACATGTAGACATGCCTACTATGAAGCAAAATCTGACCTGACGCACATTATGCAGATCCTATCTTCAAACTGTAAAGCAAGGCAGAATTTGGCTCATTTCTTCCCTTCATAGGTAGAACAGATATTATCAGTGACAAAGGAGAGAAAGTTCACTGCACTAAAATAAAAGCTAACATAATATTAGCTACAGAACGACTCAATGTGAAGAAACCAGATCATAAAGACTGTCAGTAAAACAGAGGTGGGTATGACCATTATAAATTTTTTATACTAGCTTTTTTTGCAGTTAACATTTTCTGAAACTTGACTGTAAATGGTACGCTTTCCAACACAGAAAAGGGAAAGACATTAAGAATTAAAGAAAAGCTCCACTGCCTATTTCCCCCACCAAATATGCTTTTATTTTATAAACTCTTTAAATGAGTTACAATTTTTTATTCATTTAAAAACCTCTCTCAAATATTTCTGCCACAAGACTGCACATTCATAAAACATATTTATATTTTTTCAGGAAATCTCAACATTTTAGATAGGAAAGAAAAGGTTATTGATGGCTGTTTCACTGAAGCTGAATTGTACAGTACACCTTCTGCTCTGGACAACATTGAGAATTCCTCAAGAAAAAGGCTAGGATCTTTGAGTACTCTCACTGCCAAGTGCTTTCAAATTAAATCAGTTTGAAGCAGTTTTCATTAAGATGGATTGAGTGTGGCATCGTGAGAAACACTCTATCAAATGTAGTGTTTTACTTAGTGATTAACTATATACCAGTTGATGAAGCTCCCCAAATCCTTCGTAATCCCACCACTCCAATAAACATTTAATGAGTATATAAGTTCAAAAAGCCTAGCAGAGGATTTAAACCTTCAATCTTGTTTTTATTTACTCTTGGAACTCAATTTCTCACTTCAAGTGAAGAATGTTGGTGCTTGAAGCTCATCTGTTGCCCTGGTAAAATTAAGTGCCCTCCATAGTATAAATCAGACCACATGATATTCAGGTCGCAATTTCTTAAACTATTTTTCTTAATTAAAGTATCATATTTCCAGTCATTTTATACAACTGAGTTACCAGAAACAGAATAAAATGTTACTCATTTTCTTTTCAAAAAGAAAAGAAACTGAAAAAGATACATTAATATCAACTTTGCTTATTTCATATGCTAAAAATTCAAAATATTGTAATGGAATTAAACGTGGATGTAGTTCAGCTTTGTACAAAAAAATCACAACTATTTTTTTTTTTTAATCTAATAAAAGTATTTAAAATAACAAAGCTTTAAATACAACAGATAATCCTCATAAGACTGATCTGATCCCATCATCAAAATACTGGAAATACAATTTGGCTTCCAGACCCTACATGTAAAAAGCATATGAAAAGTGTTTTGAAGACAAAATGTCTTAAGGTTATACTATGTTAAGAGAGATAAAATAATATTTAGGAGAGCTAATAAAGAGCTCTCTGATTTTATACTGATATATTTTTAACCACTTTTGATGGCAAAAGTGAATTCTCATAAGCTATTTTAATAAAATACTAATAAAAATACTATTTTTGCAAGTGTGCGTAGGACAACTGAAACCTAAGGTGCCCACCAGGCTAAACAGAAAACTTCAATTTAAAAAAGTGTAATACATATACTGCTCTGCCAAATAAATGCTGTACAACACACAAGGCTGCACACTCCTGACCCAACAGACTTCACTGTTTAAATGTACAGTTTTATTTGCCATTATTTAAAAGAGGTGCTGATATAAAACTTTGAACTCATCAGCAATCAGACTGTGACAGAGTGATACGGAACCAACATTTAAAAGGAAAAGAAAGCCTCTAACATCGCAGATAGAGATCATCTGAGGAACTTTGGCCAGAGCTGCCAAAGCCTGGGATTGGCTATGTAAGCACGAACAGTCCTAAACAAAGCAAAAGCAATAGCAAATGTAAGTTATCCTCCACCACCCCAAAAGAATGCGGGATGAATATTTTAAGCAATTAGTTAAATGGTAAAACCATCTAAGAGTAACACAACAAACAAGAGAATTCCATATCCTATCTGACCTTTTCAAATGCAAGATTGAGATATTTTGCCACTTTCTTCCTCATTTAAACAAGGTAATTTTAACACACACTTACATCTCTGGCTTTTCCATAGAAGGCTTCTTGAAAAGCAGCCTCTAGTGATCCAATAAAAAACACGGGATGGCAATCACCGTATCTATTTGAAAAGAAGATGCAATTAATTTGAAGAGAGAGAGAGAACGTTTTCCAACTCCATATTTCTTTTACATCATGCATTAACTCAATTCTTTAAAATCTATAATACTACTTTTCCAGCTATTTTCTCCTCTGCTCTCTGAACTTCCCAAAAGGTCCAAGTGACCAACTGGGCATATTTCAGTGTAACTGCTCACCTTATGAGCTTTATAACTGCTTGTACTCAGAACCTGTTGGATGTTGAAACTAGTATGCAATTATAAGCACAATTTCTCAATATTACATTCTTACAAGTGGATTGCGCTATCCTTGCTTAACACCATCCTAATAATCCAAATACACAGAAAGCATTTCATCACACAGAACCAAAAAAGGCTAGGCATACAAATATACACAGGAATCGCTTCCTTGGCTGCCAGAAAGCTGACACTTCCATGGTGAAATAAGGCAACTGCTTAACAATGCATGATTCAAGGTCCATATATAAATTTCCAAAAGCAAGATGTTACCAATTTTGAAACAGTGATTTTTTTTTTATTTTCAGCTACTCAATTATTCTTAACACTCTTGTGGCAACTAAACATTATTTTTCAGAAGTAACAGGATTTGCAGTTTATAAGAGCTCATATATATTAAATTAACAGTGCTACAGTTTATAGCCAGCATTTCAGTTATCTTTCTGTTATGGAATTCAGTAATGATAGCCGGTTTGTGGCCTGTTAATTAAGGAAAGAATCTGCCACATTTGCTCATGTTGAGTGGTATCTTATGCTACAAGTTGTCCCACCCGGATAATCATAAGGGAGGCAAAATTTGGCCCTAAATGCCTTTGATTAGATAAAGTGATATTTAAGTACATTTACTTTTACTTACATTTTCTGCAGTGTTACAGTGATATTGTAGCAGTGGTCCTTACACATCTTACACAGTTAATAGCCTAACCTTACCTTGAGGAAAATTCTGCTGTAAATTGTAATAAGGCATCTCCTTCATTTTCAGCATTTTCTGGCACTTAAAAAATAAGAACAAATGAAAACCATGTATCAGTGTCACTTGGGAGAAACAGCTTTTAATAGTAAGCAAGCAATAAGAATCCATTTTTCACTCCCTTGATTTTTTCATGTTTATAACTTCTTAAGTACTCATGGATACAGCATGTAAATTGTATGAAATAACTTGCTGGGATGATGGGCCTTTGGATGACCATGATATTTCAAGGTAGTTCATGAACAGTCAGGGTTCCTTGGGTGAATTTGATATCTTTTATTAGACCAACCCAAATGGTTGGAGAATAATAACTATTCTCCAATCATTTGGGTTGGTCTAATAAAAGATATCAAATTCACCCAAGGAACCTTGTCTGCCTATATCCTTAGACCAACACGGCTACAACCTAAACCTCATGAACAGTCAGGGCATTCTACCTGAAGAATTCCACATTGTATTTGAAGGTGGCTCACTATTGGCTGGATTTTAGCTTCTCTCTGGATCCATCCTTAACTTTTGAATAAGGGGATTGTTTAGAAGACTCCAAACATCATTTTACTAATGCAATTTTTTTTTGTTTAAATACTTACAAGGAATCTTAAAATAAATTTCAACATTATGTCCTAGTGACATAACTTGATCACAACCTGACTCTAAGGTCCCTGCTATATGTTACATATATTATTTAACTGGTTAATCAGGCAATACATTTAGACCAGCCACACATGCAAAGTAGCTATCACAAAATTAAAATGACTACCCAGCTATAAAGAACCAACCAGCTCCACAGTTAGTGCTTGAAAATGTGTAACAAATCTATAGTTGGTTTCTATCCAGCCTTAATTCTGAACATGTAGCAGGGCCCTTAAGATAACAATGCCAATAAAGGTATAATATTAATTAATGGCACAGAGATGGTAATTCGGTACTTGTACTTACCCCATCTTGCAATACACGGGGGGAAAAAAATCACCCAATAAAATTACAAGGCATTTACACACTGGTAAAATATTTACTTTTATACACCATGCTCTTAACAAGTAGAATTCATTGTCACAAAGTAATGAGGCTAAACTTTTAGTAGGATTTAAAAAAAACCTCACTGTAACTCAGGTAGCTGATAAGTATATCTACATTTAACAGATGGTTATTTATTATGACATTAAAACTTCTATGCTTCAAGCATAGGCTAAATGCACAGATTAGAGAAAAATTCCCCCAAGAGAAGATAATTCCATAGTTGCCAATTATCAGGTTATAGTGTCTTCCTCTGAAACATTTAACAATAGTCACATGAAACTGATATGGCAATTCTAATATAGCTATTTGCTGACTTTTTTCTCATCTGCTAAAGATTACATTTTAGATACATTTTTTCCAAACTGTATTATGCCGTTTCTCTTCCTTGGTGTAAAATGGCAATAAGTGATATAAAACTAAAAAAGGATGGAGAGAGAAAAAAAAAATACGGCATGCCCTCCTAACAGCATTTGAGACAATAAATAGTGGTATGAATAGGAAAATTAAGGATATTTTTCCTATTATTGCTTAAACAATTACAGCAAAAGCTGTGTTAACCAGCATGACTGGGGTAAGGGGGGGGTGCCGGGTATCTAAAAATTCCGGTTATCTGAGGTTCAATCTTTTTTAAAACCCCTGCAGAGCGGCAGGGTGGAGGGGGGGTGCATAGTAGCAGCAGCAGCGGCCGCACATGGAACAGGAGCTCGGGGACAGGGGGAAAAGGGGATGGCGGTGGCAGCTGCACACAGAGTGGCAACAGCGCAGGATGGCGGCAGTAGCCATAACGCATGATGTCCTCCCACCCCCACTTCGTGGCCGGCCAGCCGGCCATTCCACTTAAGAGTATTCCAGATAGTAGAATGCCAGTTAATACAGCTTTTACTGTAATATCTTTTTGTTTTCACTACAATATTGCATAACTAATGCTAGATTAACTCCAATACTTACTCATTGGAGATTTCCTCAAGGCAGATGATGCCATTCCAAACATCTCTCCATCATCGACTCCAAACTCTGTAGCATCTTCAAAGTCATCTCCATCACTGTCACTAACCATATGAACATCAGTACATTGCTGTTAAAAAAAACCAATATAATCCTATATTACGGGGGCTACTGTCAGTGAAACACAATGAAATATAATGCTGAACTAAATAAATGCATACCAAAAACAATTTTTGATGCAAAAACCCTTGCGCACACAAAGCTAACATTGCAGTATATTTCTAAATGCAGCACATATACAGCATTAGCATGTGATCTTTTATACGTTACAATTTTTTTATTTTTGAAGAGAGACCTTACAGCCCAGCCAGCAAAGCAACGTTATACATAGCAAAAGAAATCATCATATGGAAAAGAAATGTAAATAATTTATATGAAACTAGTTTCAAAGGGTTTAAAGGCAGGAGAGATTATTAGCTAATCTAGTGTAAACTCCTATATGGGTTATTTATCAAATGTAACTGTAGGTGTTCTTATTGCCATAGAAATAGTGAAAGAGGTGCACAGTTCCTAAATATTTTCTTCTTGGTTGAGTACCATGTGCTTTATCAACACTTCCATAGCAGGAGGTAGTCACTGAAATAGTTGGGAAGGGACCTACCCCAACCTAATTTCTCCACACACTCCTACAGTACCTTGCCTTTTAACTGACGTTCTTGCAAAAACCATGCTTTCCCACTCTGTCTAACCTATGAATTGTGATATTATAGAAAGAAACCTAATGTAGTTAGAGAACTTGAGATGCCAGTGCAAGTATGCAACACAAATCACATCAAGAGAAACCCACAGCTCCCTGCATGCTGTATTCCTACCTACCCTAGGCAGATAAACCACAAAACCTTGAGCCAGTCGCTAGTAAAATTACACACATTGCATGGAGTGGCTACAGGGAAAAGATGACTGCACATATTTGTCTTAAATAATCTCTTTTCGTAGTCAGTTCTACAGATTCATTATATTTTGTATAAAACAAGTTTTTCTTTTTCTGTTTTAGATCTGTTGCTTTCAGATTCATTGCACATGCTTGTGCTTTCTCTTGATATGCCATAGATTTGTATGGCTTTATCTTATCTTGACCTTTTATAGTAAATTTACTTGGTTTAAGAGGGAAAAGATGTTAAAATACAGTTATCAAGTCTGCTAATGCAAGCTGGGAACTTAAAAATTAATTACGTGATTTCTGGTTCATGATTGGTTAACTAGTAAGAAAGATTCTGTCCTTCATTACACCTGTAGACATCCATTATCTTTTAACTGTGAAAGTTATGGGGAAGAAATCTCTTAGAAGTAAACAACATTTCACAAAAATTAAACTACAACTTTTTTCAAGAAGGCTGCACAGGTGTAACAACGGGTAAAATTTGACTTTATTATTGAATCCAGTTAGCAATTGTATAGCTGATGTGGAAGCCAGAAAAAACCCACGTTTATACTTTCATATTTGTTTTTCCTCTCTTCGTAGCCAGGCAATTACTATTGTAAACTAAACTCAAGTGCATCCTAGGGGTGTGTGAGAGCTAAAATATAGCTAGCTAACATGCCATCAAATATGATAACCTACAAGTATGCTAAACCAGACCAAATGAGCTAGCAAGGTTGAAATATAGAGACTTTGGGTGCATACAGACATTCAGGGAGGTCAGACTGCATTAAAAATGGCCACCTGAGTTAACTTAGTTCACCCAGGTGCAGACCTCACACTTGGATCCCTACTTAGGTCAACCTAAGTTCAAACTGCACAGAAGTTCCAGGAAGATTAGCTCGGTCTAAAAAAGGCCAACCCAATCTAAGTTAACCCTACCTGCAAGGTAGTCTAACTTAGATCAGACTGGCCATTTTAGACCAATCTAACTGTCCCGGACTACTGTACAGCTCCAACACAGCCCCAGAGCTGGGAAGGCCTAGCTGCTGCTCCAGTCCCAGGGCTGTGCTTTTCCTATATGCACCCCTAGCCCCTTTCTCCATAGACCAGCCAGCCCCCACGCCCCCTCAAGTCCACCAAACCCCTCATCCCACAAGCTGCTGTCAGTGCTAGTTTTATTATCATTCACTGATGCTGGGAACCAAGGAAGTAAGTCCTGGTGGAGGGAAGGGCGGGAGGGTGGGGATGCAGGTTTGCTGAGAGGGGAGGGGAGGGAGCTGTTTGTCAGGGTGAGAGGGGTCGGGGGGCTAAAAATGACCCCACAAACTCCCTTGATTCCACCAAACTCTCCCAGACCCCACTACCCTCCCATGGACCCTGCCTGCCCCCCAAATCCCTGCTGTAGACCTTACTTACCTTCCTGATCACCCCTGCAGACTAATTGCACACCAATCCATCCTGTGGACCCCACCTGCCCACCCCAATCCCTCTGCTGCCTCCGACAGACCTCACCTGCCCCCACTGATCCCTCCCATGGATCCTGCTAGCCCCCCCTGATCCCCTGTGTATGCTGCCTCCCCCACTATCCTCTAGTGGACCCTGCTTGCTGCCCCAGTTCCCTGATCCCTTCACGGACTTTATTTGCTCCCCCAAACCACAATGAACTCCCACAATTTCATTCCAGAGCCTGCCTGCTCCCCATCCACCCAACCCCCCTCATTGGCCCCCGCTATCCCGACTCGCCTTAGGTGGCCATTTTTAACTTGATCTAACCTCCCCCTATCCTCCCTCAATGTCAGTATGCAGCTTTATTGTCCCTTCAAACAAGGGCCAAGGTACCAGAGCTCTCGAAATAAAATGACTGAAGCTATTTGTTAAACTATTTTAAATTTAAAACAGAGGCAGGAAGAACACAGGGAACACTTTAGCCCACATAGTTTAAATGTCACAGAGCTAAAAGCAACTATAGGCAGGAGCTTACCATTAAATGTGTAACTATAGGCTTCACTGACATCACTGGCTATAAGGATTGAAAAATCATCTACACTTTTTAGCCTTCATTTTTCTTTTGAATGCCTTTCTTGTTTTTTCCCCTCCCCTTTTCCACACTGGCTTCTATTTTTCTTTTCTCATAGTGATTAACTTACATAGGCACTGTGAACTAATTTATTTATATATATTAAAGCTATATCATGCAACACTGGAAGAGACAATGACCCACACAGAATAGGTTTTTAGCCATTTTCTCTTAGAACACATTTGTAAAGCTGAAATATTTTCTTACCTCCTCTGACTGTTCTCTGGTTTGTGCAGGTGAAGATCTTCTTCCTACTGTAAGTCGATGACAAGGATAAGTCACCCCTGATGCAGCTAGAGTCATCTGCAATGAAAACAGCAATTATTTATTAATGTATTTGTCTCATTTCAGAGTATTTTTGCTTTGAGCATTTTGAGTTGTTTCAATGTTTGGATTAAAAACTGCACTGCAGAGGTCTGACATTATTATACCAAGATAAATGAGAAGACTGGAAAACTAAAACAACTCTTTATATGAAAATAAATAGTAAAAACAATTATTATTGTACAATTGCTATTAATATGGCTGTATTGTGATACCCCTTTTATGTGTGGAGCTTTAATGATATATTCTCAACTGCACATACAGGGCTGTAATATCTACCTTAGAAACAGACAGCAGAAACAACAGGTTGCTGCGGCCTGTAGATGAGCTGCAAGAACATTTTTATATTTGCTCTCTTTACGAGTTTAAAAGAAGACGACTATTTTCAGAGATTTTTTTCTCTTTAAAGTACTATGATCACTGTTCTTTGAGACTGTGCTGCTATGGCACACTTGCTTGATCTTGTTTCCATGTTAAAATTTGTTATGTGAGATGTCACTAGATCAAATGATGAACTATGAATAAAAGTACGTGCAATTCACTTTCCCTCCCTAATTAATAAGCAAACAGCAAATAAAGACAAGATAAGGTATTGCTAGGGATTAATTAAATACAACAGTTAAAACCTTCAAATACAAGGTTTATGGGTAAGACGTGGTAACAGATATAATCACAATGTTACAATTCCATTTTTAAAATCTATTATTCAATATGAAATTCTTATCGGTAAAGTATTTATGTTTAATTAATGCAAATACTGAAGGCATAGGCCATACTTGCCATTTGAACATCAACACCAGGGATTCTTAGAGTGCCCAGAGTTTTCACATAGGAATCCATAATATTAAAACATTGTGACCTGCTGTGGTCTGAGTTCTTTGCAACAGAAGAACTGCTCTATTATTTTTCTGTAGTCAAAAAATGAATGAAAACTGAGAGCACTTTCTGAGGAGCACACTGAGTCTAAAAAGGTTGAGAACCACAAATATACACATATGAAACCAACAGTGCTGATGAACTTGTAGCTGATACAGGAACAACATACATCAATCAATTTAAGACAAAAGAAGAGATAATTTTCAGCTATTATTTTATGCCTAAATGTAACTTGAACGAAACAATAAATTAATATAGCAATGGTGAAGAACTAGCGATCTCGTGGCTGAAAGACCTACAGATTAGTGGGGGTAATCTTTAAGCATCTGATTCGGTAGGTGTTGCAAGAGTATACTTAATTTCAATATTGATTAAATTACTAATCAATGTGAGAAAGGATGTTAGGACTCTCCCTTATTTTGTGATCATGCAAAAATCATGTTCAAGACAACAAGAGTTTCTGGCATGCAAAAATGGAGACTGAGTCTTACCCAGCCACTGTTCACCCAGGTGGGAAATTTAGCCAGCTAGCCTTCTCTAAAACCAACTTTAAAACAACTCTATGGTTTGACTGTAGGATTCCATTATACAGAAGGTAGCCCACTAAATTTGAATTACATAGGATTAAAACATTCATGGAATGAGAACCAATGCAGTGTGAAAAGCCAGACCACCTCTTCTTTTGGACAAATGAACTTAGTATATCATCCTAATATGTTGTTTAAATTGTCTGATTCTTCTGTGCTGTTCTTGTTATCTCAAACAGCTTTCCTACATTTCTGCAGTTTAGGTAAGACAGTCAGATACACATCTTACTGCCCTCTACTGGACAGAATGACAGAACTGCTCAAGCAAATGAATCATAGGTAAATTTTTCAGAAGGACTTAAGTCTGTTTTCACAAGTGACTCAGCACCAGATGTATGAAGGTATTTAGATGGAGAGAGGTGCCTTGTGAAATTTACAGAAGTGTCTAATAAGCAGGTTAGCCACCTAATTACCATTAAAATTAAAGGATAATGTGAAAAAGCTATGTTGAGAGATTCCAACATATACTAATTTAAGTAATTATTTTATAAAATATCAGAATCTCTACTCTGACTTAACACATTTTTCAAAATGCAGTTTTAAATACAAATTTAAGCTACGTGACTATGTAAAAAAGTTTAAACATTTTTCTATTCTGTTCAAAGTGAACTTTTTTGGAAAGAATGTTAAATGGGGTGAAAATTGAACTCATTAATATTCAGCCAAAGGCTACATTACAACCAACTGTAAATTACTGGACTTGATACAGTAATTACCAAATGAAATTCCATTCCAGGTTATGCAGGGTATCAGATTGGATTATGTAATACTGTAGTTCTTTTTGGTCTTAAAAATCTTTAAAAACAACACAAACCACCCCCGCCACATTTTTAGTCATTTCCTCTGCAGTCGTACACATCTCAAATTAACACTGTTAACTTGGTCTAACAACAAATTCTGCTTTTACAGAACCTAAAGTTGGTAAGTTTTATTTCACACCAGCATCACTAGCTCATATTAGGATTTACAGGTTGATAGTTATTGGTTCCTCCAAAGTCAACAAATAGAAGATAGCAATTGTTTACTGTTTTACTATTTTCTTTTCCCTTTTCTTGCCTAGGGACTGATGAATTTAAATCACACACACACACACACACACACACACACACACACCCATCCTGATTAGACTGTAAAAACGTTAAGGGAAATAAAATTTCAAATAAATTTTGAAGCTGAAAGTGAATATGCTGGAAATACCCTATTTATTTTTATACACAATTCAAGCTGCTTTCATCACTTCTGTGCTAGAAATCACAAAGTTTTAATTTGCTGCAGGTTGAAGCAAGCTGATTAAGCAGGCTAGTTACCAAGTGAATGCTAACCTGCCTGGACTAGCCTAGTGCCGCATTCTTGTAGCAGGGTTAAATAGCAGTTTAATCATATTAAAAAAAAAAAAAACAGAAAAAAATAAGCATATATAGTAAAAAAACGAAGTGACTAATACTGTGGAACAGACAAAATATTAAAACAGACATACAGGTCAAGCTCAATTATCTATGAAACAGTTATGTCAACAATACAAGAACTGTATTCTCCATTGGTATTGCCATTTTGCATCTTAGCAGTTCATTCAGTAAATTTGAGACTAATAAAAAACAAAAACTGACAGCTACAAATCCTGAAACTCTCCCTAAGATACTAGACCTAAAGAACTGGACAAAAATTACAGTAACTTAGATGCATGCTCTCACAAAAAGCAAGGGCAAAAAAATAAACCTTCCATAACATTTTAACATCCTCAAAAGGTTAAGTATAAAATGGATCTCTTTTAGAGAGTTTAATGCAAGTAGTAGATATCCTAATTGGTTCTTTATATACACATATACCTTGCCCCCAGACTCAGCCCTCATGATTTGATGGTTATCACAGTTCTAATTTGCAACCCGAGTACAGTATGTGAGTGAACATTAAAAACACTAAACTTTTTTTATTAAAGCTCTGCTAGTATTTGTGCCACTGTAAGTGTGTGCCCCTGCTCGTCTGGATGCGGCCTATGGCTTCAGACAGTTGACTTCCATGCACCAGCAAATCTCTGCCACATAGTGGGAGGGGCAGATACAGTGCTAGCAGAATTGGCAATGAGATACAAAACTGGGTGTTGTCCATATATTGTTTAATATACTACATTTTGGGTATGTACAGACACTCGTGAAGCATAGGGAAAGGTCCGATGGAGTTGACCACCCAATCTAAGGTAAATTGGCATGAGTGGGCTACCGCATGGACTTGGGGGGGATCGGGGGGCAAGTGGGGTCCACAGAAGGATCAGGGGGGCAAGGGAGGAGGGGAGATTTTGGTAGGGACTGGGAGGATTTGGTAGCATTGGGGGGCAAATGGGGTTTGGGGGGTTGGAGGGGATATGACTAGTGGAGTCCCCAGGAGTTTGGTGGGGTGCAGGAGGGTTTGGCAGAATCAGAGGAGCTAACAGATCTGCAGGGGCGCTTGTGAGGACTCTCTCCCACCCCAAACCATATTTTTAGCTCCCTGAACACCCCATGGGAATATGATTAACGTCCCCAGCAAACCTACCCCCCCAATCCCACCTGGTTCTCTCTCCACCCTGACTTACTTCCTCAGGTTCAAGCACTGGCAAACGCTAGTAAAACTGGCATTGGAAGCAGTTTGCGGAATAGGGCTTCGGTGGGCTCAGGGGGACTGGCTGGTCTGCTGGGGGGGTGGGGGGTGCAGGGGGGTGCCCATCAAAGGGAAAGGAGAGATACCAGGAGGCTAAAAATAGCTCAGTGCTGGGGGGGCAGGGAGGGGAGGAAAAGCACAACCCCAGGGCTGCGCTGGAAATTATAAAGTTCAATTAGATCAGTCTTGTCAGACCCAATCTAAATTAGACTACCTAGGAGGTACAGTTAACTTAGATTGGGTCAGCTATTTTTAAACCAATCTAACCTTCCTGAGCTTCTGTACAGCTCACACTTAGATCCTCGTTAGGTCAGTCTAAGTGTAAGGTCCATACCTGGTAAGCTAAGTTAGATCGGGTGGCCACTTTTAACACAAGCTAACCTCCCTGAACATCTATATACCTAGTTGATAAGCTATACATATAAAAACGCTAGTATCTCAGTCGCCAATCAAGACTATCACTCCATTTTTCTAGGTATGCACATGTGTACACACACTGCTCTGAAGAAATTATAGACAGGTGCATGGTGAAAGAGTTACAGGGCCATAAAGTTACTTGCATCAAGTCACACAGTAGCCTAAATTAGATCTCAACATCTTCTGACTCCAGGCACATAGGGTGTTTATAGACATGCTCCAAGAGGGGAGTGGGGAGAGTGGTTTAATTAGAGTGTCTCCAACAGCTTCTCTAATTAAAGCACCCAGAGCGGGGGCATGTTACCTAAAGCTCATCCAACAAGCTTTACTTAAAGTGCCACTGCCACCATTTTTCAGCACGGGGACACTGATGCATATGACACTGAAGTCTGCTGGAGCGCGGTACTTATCACACTCCAGCAGACTTAATTAATCGAGTCTGCTCCAATGTGCTGTAATTACAGC